GGCGCATGCCTGTAGTCCCAGCTACTCGGGAGGCTGAGACAGAAGGATTGCTTGAGCCCAGGAGTCTGAGGTTGCTGTGAGCTAGGATGATGCCACGGCACTCTAGCCCGGGCAACACAGTGAGACTCTGTCTCAAAAAAAAAAAAAAAAAAGTAAATGAACCAAACTTGAAAGATTAAGACTTATTTAAGGTTTTTATCCCAGTGTTCTTTGTACTATAATTTATAGTGGGTTTAAAAGAGAATTTTCACAAGTTGGCACATTAGAAGTCAGAAAGTGCTATTTTTTTGTAGGCAAGGAAGGGAATCCATATTTTTCAAAAATTTTTATTTATATTAAAATATTAAGCAGGTATTCATTATCTTAATATATGGAACAAGCCCTTGTAATGCACAGTTTAATTTTTTTTTAGACTAAGAGGAAACTCAATATGTAAGAATACAGATTATTTCTTCATAAATAGGAGTAGTTTCTCTCAAAATTAATATTTTTCTATTTCTAGAATTAACATTTTCTCCTCATCTGTCAATAAGACAGCTCTTTTCACAGATAAGAGAACCCTACAGAATCTATGTTTTGGGGCTGACTTGAACTATGGAATGGAGAGGAGAGAGAATATCTCCAGCAAACTTTAATAAATTTAATTTTTATGTAAAAGTTTCTACTTAATGCACCTCTGTAAAGTGATATTAATGTCAACTATCTACTAAGCATAATTTGTACCAAAAATTTCTACAAATGGAAATCACAGGCACAAGTTTTCAAAATATTGCTCTAAAATCACTCTCAACAACAGCTAGGTACAAAAAAAAAAAAAAGAAAAAACCAGCTAGGTACATATTTTGCAAAATTCTGTAATAAATATTCTCTAATCATTTCCTAACATTATCACGGATACTAAAGTCTTTATAGAAACTGAAAATTTTCAGGAAGGTATTTTATAAAACTGTTCAAATGAACCAAAATAAATGTCCACTGCAGTATCATCAAAGATTATTAACTATCACAATCTACTTTACAGAAAACACACTGAAAATTCCTCAACTTAGGAATTCACAAACTACGCCACAAATTTACTCTTAGAAATAGTTATTTTCTCTCAAACTTACAGAAGCTGAGGATCCTAAACACAATCCAACTAGATTATTTAGTGCTAGGTAAAAGACAACCAGGTAATGTTATTTTAGTGATCAGCATTAGCAGAAGATAACTGAGGTGAAATAACTGTCCCTAGTAATGACTATAATCATCAGCTTATCAAGTAAGCAATATAGGTTAATCATCGTTGACTATTAAAGATGTTAAATACATTCCCAGTGAAGACTACTTTCAGTAACTGTTTACCCTTTTGTTTAAAAGGGATGATCCCAAATAAAAAATGGTATGAGATGTTTCCTGAAAGCACTGAGTCCAAGTAATGGAGAATAAAACACTAGTTGGAAAGAAGTAGGAGGGAGAAGAAAAAATGGTATCCTTGGATATAAAGCTAAGATATTTTGAGACACTCTGAAGTTGTTAAAACACACACACACACACGAAGAAAACACCCCAAACCAAATTGTAAATGTATGTAATTACCAACACTAGACTGTTAATTACACCAAAGGCATTTGTTAGTAGATGATCATGCCAGTCTTAAAGGATCTCATAACTCCATTATTTTAATTTGGTGACATTGTATACTGGGATATATTAGGGTAATATTCTGATAAAAAATTTAAAATGAAGTATTTTTGGCATTTAATATAGTGACTGAAATATATTTTAATAGAAGATATTTTAAAAATTTAAAAAGGTTCCACAAAAGGTTGTTGCCTGACTGCTCCTACCTCCCTCTAGCAAGGAATAAACAAGATGATGGAAAGATTGGGAAGCCAACAGAGCTGGATGGAAAAGGGACTGATATTGAGCCCATCTTGTAACAGCTATACATTAAAATAAAGGGAAAAGGGAAATTAAACAGACATGAATATGAGTAGGTATCCTTCAGAGCTTAACAAAAACTGGGTAGTTGACAGGGTGAAGAAAGTTATGACAAAGTTTAGGGAACAAGAATTTGAAAAATTAAGTAGCTCTTGAACTAAAGGTGTTCTGGTGGGAAAATAAAAGATGAGTATACAAATTTAACCTGCTCACAAAAGCTTTTCTGAACATAGCAGCAACACAGTCTCTATTTATTCTATAGGCATTTAATATGATCTCATTATGTAAGAGGTATTCCCCTAGGTACTAGAAATATAGACATTGCCACAGAAATCAAATCAAATGTAACAATGTCACCTGACATTTAATATGCACATACAAAGGACGAAAATAAGTAATCTAAGTTAGGAGTCACAAATATATACCTCTACCATACATTCAAAATTTATCCCCGTAAAGTATATTCAAGGAATTTCAAATTACTCTACAGAATGAAAATTTCATATATGAACATCAGGTAAAACATTTAAAGGATGGAATTTTATGGCTCTTCCAAGAAAGGAAAACCTACCAAGAATTTTGGCCCTAGGAGTCAACCACAAAAGTATCCCAGCAATATTCAGAATAATTCCTTTACTTAGAAAAATACTAAAACATCAACATATGTGATTTTCTGTGACTCTCCAAAGAAAATCCCAAGTAATACGTACGACAAAGGGTCAGTAATCCACAACTGTGCTTCATATACATATAGTAAAAAAACAATCCACAATTACCTAACTCTGCTATTGTTAACTGAGTAGCAGAGATCTAAAATAAAACCAAAATTAGAACACTACTAAAAAGATAATGGATATGAATCCTAAGACATAAATAAAGCCAAAAGATATCTACATGGCATCCTGAAACAAATCTAGGCACTGAAATATTTTTTCATGAAAAGTTCTGTTATTATAATTGCAAATATATTAATCTATGTGTATGTATACACAAACATGCACATGTACACACACACGTCACTCTAGGCAGACATCAAGAAGCTTACTTACACACTAACATGACCACATCAGGTATAAACATCTGCATTAAAAGTACATTTACGAGAAATATGTTTTATCACTAAAAAGACATGCATAGTCAATGAAATTATATGTGAAAAAATCATGGGAAACAATATGGCAATTACTAATTAGGAGCTATATTCATTTCTTGATGTTCTTTAAGCAGTTGTAAAAGACTCTTTGTTAGAACAGAGCTTAGAAAGCAAGGCTAGTGTAAGCTGAGAAGGCAGGGAGATAAAGATGGTCCAGATCAAGGGAATAAGAGGGTACCACTTTCCATCTTTCATCTGACTCTTCTAAAATTGTATTACTATACATTTTATAAATATAAGCTAACTCCCAAACTTTCACTGCAAAATTTTAAAGAAAATCTTTACCTCAAAGAAAACAATTCTGCTGCTATCCCCCACATTCCACAACAACCTCTTTTCACATTAACAAATAATTCTGAAAAGATGCAAAGTTAAACAATAAAGACTACTTATTAATTAAGGTTGAAGTCTTAATTAATTTTTGTAGGTCTGACTGCCATAATTTAAAAATTAAAAGCTTCACTAAAAAAGTACAAATATTAGTGATTCAGAAGGCAGCTGTGTTTTGTTTTTAAAACATAAAACGAAAATAAATTAACAATGGGAAAAAGTATTTGACAAAAACCAAGTAAGAATAAGAAACATATTAGCCACAAGTCACTTCTTTGAATATTGAGTTCTTTATAGTAATACTATGTCTTAAAAGAACTTTTTTGGTAGACAAACAACAACAGCATGTTACACAAATAGTAACCATTACACTTTTTATAACTCCTAAAACATTGCAGTGTTATACAATTTTCTGTGATATGTAAATGTTCTCTGCATTGTCCAATATGGTAGCCAGTAGTAACACATAACTATTGGTGAAATGAATTTTAAAATTTTACTTAATTTAATTTCAATTTAAATAGCCAAAAGAGGCAATGGCTAAAATAATGAACAATGCAATTCTAGATTTCAAATATTTGTTGAACAATTAAATATAAATATAAGTTCTTAATAAATTTCTTTCATAGAAGTAAAGCTTAGAATCAAATAAACTTTCAGCTCTACTGTCTCCAAAACTATATCTCAATCTAGTTAGACAGCGTGGGCTAAATGGGTCTTGCCACATAGTATCATACAAAATATATTTTAAACACTAGTATACAAAGGAATACAAAATTATATTTTCTGCACAAATGGCCATTATATTTTTAGCACTTAAGATGTTTCTCCCCTCCTGGAAATAATCTTAAGTAACAAGTGAACTTAATTCGACAACCATTCAAAAATAACATCCCCCCCACCAACTTACTTACAATTTAACCCAATTTAAGAGGTAAATACCATTCCCTATTATCTTGGCATATGAAAGGACAAAACTTTATTTTTAAAATATAAAACATATTCGACCATCTCCTCCACAAAATCAAAAATAACCTTTTATGTAATTTATTCTAAACTATACAAATTATCCATAATTAACTCAGATAAATCTATAAGAAAATACTACTATAAGACATTTAATATTCTTAAAATAGTTTATAATACTGATCCTTATATACCATATAACTTTATTCAGATGCTACAAATTAAAATTCAATTTATTACGTCATTGTAGAATGGAATGTCTCTACAGTCAAGGTAACTTTTTAGAGAGTTGTTAAGTACATCTATTCTAACATATAATTCACTTGATTAACAAGCAACTTTCAGAAATATATGAAATAATAGCAAAAGAACTTATCTCTGTAGAATCAAATAGTAGTAAAATTCATGACTGAGTAGTGGGTAGGAGAAAAAAATGGTGAGAGGAAAAAAACTGTTCAATGATAACTTTTTATCTATATTCCTGAAAACAATTCACTATTGTCTGACATGAAGGTTATATTTTCATGCAGTAGCTAATTTTTATAAATTTCCATTTTTTTAATACTTTAGTAACCTTAAAACTTAAAACTGACTATAATACAAATGACATCAGTATAAGCATTCTTACCTTTATTTGACTTTGATGGTTTATTCTTGATAGGTTTAAGGGAACTTCTTGATTTATCCTCTCTATCTTTAATAAGTTTCTGAACATCATCCAAGGACAGTTTTTGCAGAACAACTACAGGCTTAGCTCCTTTATTTAGATCTTCAACTAGTCCCATTTTTTCTACTTTGTCTTTCTGCTCTCCTTTCGTTTCCACTTTCTTTGTCTCCTGAGTAATATTGCCATCTTTATCCCGCTTGATTTTTGGAATGACAAAATTTTTCAATGCACCAGACCTGCCCCCCAGCAAATAACTTGGAAATTCTGCCTTGTTGTCAGGGTGTGCTTTATTACTGTCTACTTTACTCTTGTTACCCTCTGTCCTTTTGTCATCTTTACTATTTGGTGACTTAAAACCAGGTTTATCAGGTCTTGATTTATTAGAATCTCCTTGTCTAACACGAGGACTGTCAGGTCTTGATTTTTGTTCCCCAGAGGATGGTCTTTCCCTTGAGTCCCCTGACTCATGCCTGTGTTTTCTTTCTAGTTTATCAATTTTTGAACTATCAGATTTAATGCCATGTTCATTTCTACTAGAGGATCTCAATGTTTCTGGTCTTCGAACCCTAGACTGATCCCCTCGATGTCGCTCTGATTCACCTCTATCATCTGATTTTTGTTTACTATCATGGTCACGTCTTAGTGACTCAGAAATAGATCGTCCATCAGGTCTCTGCTTTAAGGCTTCAGCTCGTTCCGATTTTAACCGAGGTGAATCACATTTAATATCCTGTTTATGTTTAGACACTTCAGGTTTTTTCTCTGTTGATGGCTTTCCAGAATCCCTCCTATTGTCATGCCTGTGTTTTGGTGTTTCAGGCCGGCCTTCATTTTTTTGCTTTGGAGTTTCAGGCCGGCCCTCACCTTTTTGTTTTGGAGTTTCAGGCCGTCCATCACCTTTCTGTTTCGGGGTTTCAGGGCGCCCATCACTCTTTTGTTTTGGAGTTTCAGGCCGGCTTTCACCCTTTTGCTTTGGGGTTTCGGGTCTTGATTTTGTTGTTTCGGACCTGCCATTATTTTGTTTGTTGTCATTTGGTTTTGTGTCAGACAGTCTATTTTCATTTTGTTTAGGCTCAATTACAGTGCTCTCGTTTTGTCTGGATTCGGTCATTCTGCTCTCATTCTGTTTAAGTTCTTCTGTTTGGGTCTCAATTTTAGTTTCTATCTTATTTTCACTTGATTTTGTCTCCACCAATCGGTTTTCATTTGGTTTCGATTCTGATAATCTATTTTCATTTTGTTTCATTTCACTCTTTGAAAGCTCAGGATCAGACTTTTTTTTAGGTGTCTCAGGATGGTTTTCTGGTGTAGATTTAAGACTTCCAATAATATCTTCCTGAAGAACAGAAATAGGTGCATCATTAAATTGTTTGATTTCTTCAGGCTTTTTTATGGAGTCTGAATCCTGAGTTATAGAAGCCTGAGAGTCCACTCTTCCTGCCTGATGAAGATCAATGCTAACCATTAATGCTGGCCTTGACCCATTTCCCGTAGAACCCGTCTCCTGAGAAGCTGGTCTATTACCTCCTGTAGCACCCCCAGCCTCCTGTGGGTAAGAATCTTGTTTTCTTTTTTTCAAAGGCTTATCTGAAATTTAAAGATAAATATTCCATATCAGTAATAGACATGTATTCTTATCTTATTAAAAACCCTATGGATTTTGACTATCTTTTTAAAGTTATAATGTTTTTCGAATGTAGTGAATGCAAATGTAAATATGCACATATAAAATAGTAAGCATGAATGACATAAAACTTGGAAAACCAAGGTTTGAGGAAATATTCATGCTTAATGGACCTCAATAAATCTTCATGACCATAGTAAAAAGTATTTTTTACTATGTATTTAAATATTAACATAATATTTAAAATATTTGACAGCATACTTTTTAAAGTATATAAATAAATGCAAGACTATAAAATGAATAAACTTATAATACAAACATATATTTATGTTCATAATGTTAAGGATAAACCAGACTCTTCACATAAGAATAAAATAAGGCAACTAGTTATAAATCATATATTCTCACTTCAGATCATTTTAACTGTTAACCAAAAACTACAAATAGCCCCAAATCTGCCAACATAACCAAATAGGAAACATAAGTTTTTACTACATGTAAGATAAATATGGAAAATAGCAGAGCCTCAAAGAAAACAGAAATCATGCCACTGGGGGAAAAAGTAAATGAGTAAGCGAAAGAATCTAATAATTTATCATTAAACTTTAATTAGAATTCAAATTCTTTTAAGTGTTAACAGTGCAAATGGAGTTTAAAAGCTAGCCACAATGTTAGAAGTAAATTTAAATGATAGAAGTAAACTTAAAATAAGGAAGCAATTATATCACAGATACAAATTAGAGGCATATAAGGACTTTTTAGATAAATCCTATCTTAAGCAACTTGCACTAAAGAAAAAGGCTTCTGCTCTTCAACATAAAGTTCTACGGGGTCTACACTGGCCTCAGAAAGAAATAATTTACAGTATTCTGAAATGTAAAGACAAAGACACATACAAACACAAACTCAATACCACAATAAAATGTCAAGGTATTTGGAACAACTATGTATTTCTGTGCATGGTTCCCCAAAAGAGGGCGCTAGGTCATTTTCTGTAAATTGAATTTCCAGTTAAGTATTGGGAATAGTTACATTACACCACCTTGAGGTTTTTCCTGCTTTTATTTACTTGCTGAATTGCTTGACTATGTTTTAAAAGTCATTCTAGTCATTTTAACAACCTCTAAATTCTCTTACAATATGCACTAATGTGATATCACATAAAGAAAACAGTATCACAAGGTTAAAGTCTAACTGACGACAAAAAAACTGCCCCTTATTGTTAGAAAAGCAAGTTCTGAGATTTTTTTCTAATGGTAATGCTTTTATACACCTAAGTTCAATTGTTTTCTTCTTAAAGCAAGAATGAGCAGTTCATTCCAGTTTAAAATCTAATAACATGTAATGAAAATTTACTTCAGATATTTTTTAGCTATTTTTCATAAAACTAAGTTATTGTACTCCTTCAGTTATCCAGAAGTCAAACCTACTATCACACATGATCCATTTGCAAAACAATATCATAGGCCGGGCGTGGTGGCTCATGCCTGTAATCCTAGCACTCTGGGAGGCCGAGGTGGGCAGATTGTTTGAGCTCAGGAGTTCAAGACCATCCTGGGCAAGAGCGAGACCCCGTCCCTACTAAAAAAATAGAAAGAAATTAGCTGCACAACTAAATATATATATATATATATATATATATATATAAAATTAGCCGAGCATGGTGGCGCATGCCTGTAGTCCCAGCTACTCGGGAGGCTGAGGCAGAAGGATTGCTTGAGCCCAGGAGTTTGAGGTTGCTGTGAGCTAGACTGACGCCACGGCACTCTAGCCCGGGCAACAGAATAAGACTCTGTCTCAAAAAAAAAAAAAAAAAAAAAAAAATCATAATAACATATTATCATTAGATTGTTTTCCCTACTTAAAACTAACATTGTAAGAATTTATCTGCAGCTTTCTTCATCAATATCTAAGAAAAAAGCACCCAGAATAGTAAATTTATGTTTATAGAATCCTCTTTTTCAATGTTCTATCATACAAAATAATCTTTATATCTTGCCATATGATACATCAAACAATTACTATCTCATATATAGGATGTTTTATCACCTTATACTTATCTCTAAAACCTTTATAACAAGAATCTAGAAATTCAAATAGTATACCTAAGATTTCTATGTTTTCAATGAAATATTCCTTTGTAAAAGCCATTAAAATGGTAACTTAAGCATACTTAAGAACTAAAATGACAAAGGTCTGAGGCATCTAAAGATTTCTCTTCAAAAATCTGTGGTTCATCCTTTTGTAAATATGAGTTTTCAGAAAAACATTAAAATAGCTTGGCAGGCTGATTTTTAAAGGATTACAAAATACTCAAAGAGTCTATACATCATTGACCTCAATCCAATTTACCTTTTGTCATTAAAATGGAAATTCAACACATAAGTTAATTTCAAAGAAACTATTATGTTCAATTTAAACTATAGAGCCTATGAGTATTTATAATAAAAAATTTATGAAAGCATTTGCACATAAGTAATGTATTAAGATTGGGAAGGGTCATGTAATTTTTTCACGATAAATAAAATATTGCTAAATACTAAGTTCTAATTGTTCAACTAATGGAAAGCACTTCACTTCTCTTCTGTAAATCCCAGAAAAATTATATCACTGTTGTGGCATTTCTTAGATATGTTAAGAGCATGCACATTCTGATTCACTTCGTCTGACTCATTTTCACCATGAACTTACAAAATGGCTCTGAATCTGTACAGGTCACTTTTGTCTATCCACTTTTGTTATCAGTCTTCATTACATCATAATCTTTACCTAATGATGGAAAGCCTTCTCTATGATGAATCATTTTAGTATTTGAGACATTGATTACCTGTAAGCCCTCTTCAGCATTTGGAATCATAAGATTAGCTATCAGAACATATATATTCCTGAAGAAAATGCATACAAAAGATTATAATTTCAAAACCAACATCACTTGTTATCCAGATGCTGATATTTTGAAAATAAGATCCAGTCTTTACAGAAACTCTGAACTCAATTATGCTTACAAGAAAAACAAACTACACCACTTACTTAAATCTACTGCAAGTTATAAATAAAAACACATAGAGCAGAAAGTACAATAATTGTATACATAGTAGCCAATTACAAAAAATGAAAACATCTCACCCCTAAACCATAGTACAGGCCAAGTAGCTAACTGTTCTATTACTGTCCTAAATCCCAGTCTCTTATTCCAAATGACAGTAGGCAATAATTTACTTCTTAAGGGTTATGATGCAAGAATATTATAACATTATAAAAAACATTAGTGAAGCTAAGCCATTCCTTATGCTTGCTAATATGGAAAGTGGACCTTGGGAAAAGATGAAATAGGCAAAGATGAAAAAAGGAACTCTCTCTTTGACAAAAGAAAGCAGGAATTTTCAGCACATGAAAGAGGTATTAATGTCTATGATGGGTCATCCCAGAAGCAAAGATGAATAGCCTTTTAAAATTATTTTTTGTAATTACAGATGCTAAAGTATGAGCAAAAAGCATTGAGAAAAAGGTCCTTTTAGAATATAAAATATTAGGTTACAGTGTTACCTTATCAGTATATAATTAGAACTGCCCAAAGAAGGGAAAACAGACAAAAGGGACATAAATATCTAGCAGCCAGAAAAATGTTTTCTGTGTGTGGAACAGGGACACATTAAGGTCTACCACAGTCTAGGCAAAATATTTCTTAAGACTACTCTATCCCTTTTCTTGAATTCCACAATTATTAGCTACATTTGTTGAACTTTCTAATCTTATTTATATGGTATAGCTTTTTTTTATTTTTCGTTATTGAGTTTGGTTATTGGTTACTTCTCTCCTAGTAAACGAATACTGGCAGGCAAACTCAGACTCTAGAGTATCTTGTTTATTACTCTATCTCATCGGTAACTCAATAGTTGCAAAAAAAAGTTCTTAGTGCCAAATCTTAGAATATACTAAATGTCAATTTTAGAATTTAGTCCAAAAAGTAAAAATAATGGTAACTAGTGATGAATTCATTTCAAGGAAGTTATTTCATATTTCAAGAGCTAACTATAAAATCACCACTTTAGAACAATTTTGTTTTTATTTATGACCTCACCTACAATCTAGACCAATATACACACCTTTAATCTTTCCAAAATCTCAAGGTAACCTCTTATATAAAAAATACTATCCCATCACACCATGCAGAAACTGAATGTGAAATGTCAAAGGTCAAATCAAGTGTCAGGTGGCACCTAAATTCCAAAAGTTTTCAAATATAGCACGTATCACTTAACAACGGGAATACATTTTACAAAATCCATTGTTAGGTGATTTCATTGTGCAAACACCCGACAGTGTATTTACACAAACATAGATGGTATAGCCTACTGCATACCTAGACTATATGGTATAGCCTATTGCTCCTAGGCTACACATCTGTACAGCATGTTACTGTACTGAATACTGTAGGCGATTCTAACACAATAATAAGTATTTGTGTATCTATATATATCTAAACATAGAAAAGGTATAGTAAAAACATGGTATTATAATCTTATGGGACCACTATTGTACATGCAGTCCAGTGTTGACTGAAATGTTGTTATGGGGTGCATGATTGTAAATCAATGAAATAAAAGAACATGGCTTTCAGAAAGCAAGTCAGAAATGACAACACTAATATAAAGTCAGCAAAACCTATCTGAATCCTAACAGTACCAGATAATTCGGTATTTTCACCAAATTTGTAAGCCAACTCTTGTTCATTCAACTTTTTAGTTATTTTTGCTACAGCCACACCATCACAGATCACCAAGAAAACTGTTCGGATAATTGAAAGTAAAATATACAAGTTTCTGCAAGAACGGTATATTTGTTGATTTTGTTTTATTTTCCAAAGAAAAGTCAATTATATAAAGTAAGTTTGCTAACATGCAAACCTATTAGACCTATTTACTATCCTTATTTTCATTCCATTTTTAAAAGTAAAAACTTTGGATTCAACAAATATGATACAATAAAAGTTCAGTGAAATAAAAATAAAAAAGTTAACCATTTCCTGTGTTTTGGTCCTATCAAAAACTACTATAAATCATTTAAAAGTTACACTCCTTTTAAAAAACACATTTTCCATAAAACAAATGTCATGCAAATATTCAGTTCTCAAGGCAACTAATATTTCTTGGTCAGGCAATTACAATTTTGAGTGTGTCCTGCAAAACTGTGTTAGAATTCAAGAATTTTGGATAGGTTAATATTTCGAGAGAAGCTGAGTAATATCACTCTCTTCACTTGGCATGCACATACTTTTATAATAGGTTAGAGGACATACACCTTGGAACCTATATGTTTATTTCCTGAACCCCATGTTGCAAACCAAAGAGAAAAGGTACAAGCAACATTTCATTCTTAACATCAAAGATTAAGTAATTTAAAAAAAAATCCCAGTTCCCTAGTCAATAAAATGAAGACTTCTAGCAATTTCTTTATTTGCACCTATCTGATCTACACACTGTTCACACACTGTAGTACAATAATTAACACAGTTCATTTTTTTCGATAACATTAAAAAGAGCCATCACGATGAGAGATATAATATCAATCTTCAGCATGTTTCTTTGCATAGAACACAATTATCTAGTGATGATCCTGTCAAACAACAAACAAGATCATATACAAAAATGAGCTCTACCCAAAATCAAGAAGTTTTGTTTTATAATTACCAAGAAATAAAATATAAGAATTGTAAATCAACCTAGAATATTTTAATCATAAAAATAAATCATAAAGTGTGCTTTTGGTTTGGATGATCAAATGTACATATGCATTTGTAGAGACATTAAATTCATAAATGATACTACTAATTTCAATCACTGATTCATCAGTCTCTCTTAATGTATTCAAAATATTTTGTACATAGTGTACACCAAATAATTAAGAACTTACTAGGGACTGACTTTAATTTGATTATAAGCACAAAGAAAGCCCATAAACTCATAAACCAGGTAAGTCTTGAAATTCCATCCTAATATACTAGTCAGGGAACACTTAACTGTAATCACCATCAAAATGTCTTTGATTCTTAAGGTTTGCTATTTAATACTAACTTCTTTCCATATTTTGTTTACTTAAAAAAATATTATTATAACAGTAGTATCATAAACCAACTGAAATATCTAACTGCCTAAGAAACATACAAACTTTTCTTAAAATGTACCTGCTTCAAAATAACTATAGCAGTTAACCTTGTTTTAGTAGAAAAATTTGAAGATGCACAACTCTATTAACTTGTGAAAAACGCATGTGATATAGAAATGTTAACATTCATTTTATTAGAAAAGCACACATAAGTAAAATAGTATCATACATAACGGGTGATAGACCTGCAGTAGAGAATTACCAAATCTCGAATAGTTGCTTCAGATAAAAAATGAAATTAAGTTTATAATTTAACTTCTGAGGTATTAATATTAGTAAAAAATATACTTAAGAGACATGAAGAATTATAAAAAATATGAGAAAAAAGAGTAATGTAAAAAAACTTTTTTGACACTATAATTACATATTCACCGAGATAATAAAGTGGTAAAAATGAGATTACTTTACCTTTATCTTGAACTTCTTTTGAGAAACGCTCCCTTTCAATAGCTGATTCTCTCTCTATTCGCTCAATTTCAGCCAATGCATCCAATTCCACTTCATCATATATAGGTCCCTGTTGTGATACCTGTTGTTGATTCTGTACCACAGAAGTTGGGGGTTGTTTTGTAGCAACTGAAGTGTTCTGTTGTACAACAGGCACTTGATTTGCTGGAAGGAATGCTGTTTGTTCTTGCTGCGGCAAACACTGAGCAGCATTTAGTGGGCGGTTTACATCCTGTGGAGTAATGGGTGTTTTTGAAGTCTGTCCTGGGTACTGCACATTAAAAGGAATATCATTTTCTGAAACATTGCTATTTTCCATACCAGAAAGCATATCCTCTTGCTGGTCCATGTCTGAAGACCTTACACGAGAAAGTCTTAATGTAAGTTTAGTAGAGTCCTTGGATGGAGAACTAATTATATCATACATCGCAGCTTTCTCACTCTGTTCTTTTTCATCCTTGCCTAATTTCATTTTCTTTTGCTTCTTTTGTTTTCTTTCTGGAGAATCCAGCAAGATGTCTGGTGGAACATCTCGAGGTGATGAACAAGGTAGAGGCTGAGACTGTAGGATTAAAGGTGTTCTTGATCCTAGAAAAACAATTCAATAGAAAAGAACAGTTGTGCTGCTTTCACATTTCCTTACAGTGTGATAGAAATATTAAATAAGTGACAATAAAGTAATGCTAGAAATAATGTTAAGAAACTACCTAATCCAAGTCACTTATGTACAAAAGACAAAAAGAAAGCCTAAAGTCCTGTCCCACACAGTTGTTTAGTTTGCTGGTTGATGATCTAGGTTTGAATCTAAGTAGGAGTATTAAATCTTTCAGACCAGTATTATTTCCATTTTTATGCTCAAAAAGTATAAATAATTAGCTTTAAAAGGGCAAAAGAGTTCATTGTTTTTAAAGATGATACAACACAAACATTTTGGGCATGATCATCTCTATTCTTTCACTGATTATCTAGGAAACCTGATATATCCTAATATTTAATGTAAAAATAAGCGAGACTTTGTCAAATTACACAAAAATAACAAATTAATCCTAGAGACTATACTCACATCAATACTACTGGTTTCATAACAAAAAGAAAGTGGGAAATTTACAATTACTAAAGTACTTACTTCAAACACTGGTGGTAAAGTATTGATTACACCTTAATGTGGTCTTCTCTTTCTTCCTCCACTTAACATCATTCACATATTCTCCTCAGCTTGCCAACCCTCTTTTTATTAGAAAAATATGCAAGTCCAGAAAATTTCAAGGCTCAATAAACTATCTTGAGCCCAGATTCCACTAACCAATGCTAAACGATACACCACGGAAGTGTTAAAAATGAGTTAATCAGATGGAAAAATCCTTCTAGCTAACAAGCTGTTAGGTGAGGAAAAAGAGCATCGATATGCTACAGAAATAATAGTATAATTGCATCTGAATAATGTAATACATTCTTATCATTAGGCTATTTACAAAATATTTTAAAACCTATACAAAATTTTAAAAATTGGTTGAGCTAAAAGTTCTTTACAGAACGAACTTAAACCTAGACCTATCTTAAGCTTTCAGTGTTTTTATATGTATTTTTTTCCATGACATATAATTTTGAACTTTCAATTAGTAATGTTATTATATTTTAAATGCTCTATATAAAAATTTAACTTTTAAGAGAATATATCTATTGATTAAAGTGTAATAAAGATGATATGGGAGCAATTTACTATAAATGTCTGAAGTTACATTGATCAACATTTTTTTCTTTAGAATGAGCCTATCTGAGACATTAAAAATAAATGAAAATGAAACTGGCACTTTTGGACCATTTATTTTGTGTCGGAGATGTACAAAGTGCTTTACATATCAATTCATTTAATTTTTACAAAATTCTTGAGTATTATCATCAACACTTTGCAGAAAAAGAACATGAAGCTTATAGAGGTTCAGATATTTGCCCAAGGTTATGTAGCTAGCAAACCTGAACTATTTAAAACCAGATGTGTCTAAGTCTGAATTGTAATACACCAATATGCTTCCCTACTTAAAGTTTATGTGGCAAATTATATATACTTTAGAACAAACTTCAAATTCCAACAATTCACCTAAAATTCAAGTTAGACTGACAATGCATACACCCTTCAAAACTAGTTGGAAAACAACCTTATGACAGAAGTTCAGGTTTCTGATAAATAATATGTTCATGAGTTGTTTGTTCTAAAGTTTTTTCTTTTTCTATCTAAAGTTTCTCCCTTTCTTTCCTTCCTTCCTTCCCTTCCTTTCCTCCCTCCCTTCCTTCCTTTCTTATCCTTCTACCTATCCATCTATCCATCCAATCTCAAGAGTCAGAAGGAAAAATGGGCTGATAATCTAGATCAGCCATCTATCCCATTGTTTCCTCTCCCTGGCAGTCTAAATAACTTCTCACTCTGACAACATTGGTGGGATATGTACCAAATTTGATGCCTAACCTACAAATATATTCACTATGGCAGTTGTTCTCTCTTTCAGAAACTGGGATTTTATCTCTGAAAATCCACACAATTATAGAACAGAAATGGTATATAAAGGTTCAACTTCTACCTCATGAAAAATGTCCTTGATAAATAGCTAGAACATAATTTTTGAAAAAAGTATCTTTACCATATGTTTCAGATAGCTATAATTAAAAATTCTCATGGATTGAGAAAATACATTATCAGCTATTTTGCAATTATTTATAAACTAACTTTTAAAAGTGCAACACAGTATTATTTTCCAACAAACTCTGATAAAGTTATCAGACTATAATTTCAAATATTTTTACATATTTAGACTTAAATCCACAGTTTTGCCAATCTGTTAGAAGACTATGCCAAATACTTTGGGAATTCAAAGATAAACAAAATAAAATTCATGTACATAAGATGGTATAGGATACATTCTTAGAAAAAATATAAACTAATGACTTGAGGAGATTAGGGGAGGGCCCATGGACGATCACCCATTTAATTCACACCTGGAAGAACAGGTAGGATTTTAATAAGGAAAGATGAAAGTAGATCTGAGAGATGTATGAAGTAACACAGGACAGGCTAGACTTGATAAATGACTAAGGAATTGAGAAAAGACTTTATGATAATTTCAAAATTTTAAGTCAAGATGATTCAGGACTGGAAAAGCATTAAGAGAGATGGGAATAGCAGAAAGAATGATGAAACCAATTTTGAACCTGAATTTGAAATACCAGCTAGATATGAAGGAAGTTTTGTGTGAAAGTGAAGAATTATAACTTGGGAGATAAGACTGGAGCCAAAGATTGATTTAGGAGTCCTATTCACAAAAAGTAATCAATGCAGTTTTTAAAACTGAGTGAAACACCCAGGGACAAAGGTACAATGACGCCACTGAAAAGTCTGATAGAATTCTTGAAAAATAAGAATAGCTAAGGGAAGAGTTAAGGAAGGAAAAAAAAAGAAGTTACTAATGAAAGAAATAGGAGAAAAACAGATGAGCTCAATAAGAGTTTTTCTGGAGGGGAAATTTCAAATGTTTAAGAGAGGTTAAGAACATTGTGATTTGAAAAGATCACTGGATCTATTAATGAGAACATTACTGGATATATCTCAGAATACTATTAGTAGTTTACTAATAGGAACAGATTTAAAACCCTGATCTAGACCTGCACGTTTATTTTTTTTCTATAATGAAAAAAGAGAGTAATTTTTTGGAATCTGTTTTAAGAAGTCTGAGTTCTTTATTCAACTTGAAATATGAAATATACAGAAGGAAATTTTAGCCAAAATAATACCTTTAGAAGTTCCATCACTTCCAGCTGGGGAGCATACTGGTTGTGGAGACCTCAAGGGAAAAGATGCAGCATTCCTCATTGTTGAAGAATCTCCATCCTAAGAATAGAGTATAAAATTTATATCTTAAATAATAGGAGAAGCTTTTTAGAAATCTTAAAGAGAACCAATAAAAGACATAAATTACTGACAGGTAAAGTGTTGGAATTCAAAAGCATAATTCTTCTGCACTTTCCTGTTTTCTTCTTGGTATATCTTAGAAGAATTGAAATTGTATCCAAAAGAATCAACAGCCTAAGCATGGCAATGAATAAGAAAATTGGTATTACTAGTATGCTCCATTTTTGTTTGCTATTTTCTACAAAAGGAGCTATGAATACCCTACAAGGTCATAAAGGTCTTGAGGGCAGAGTCCACTGTCATCTGTATTAGTGTTAGACACATGCAGCTTACATAAAAATACAACATCAATAACAAGACAAATTTCCAGAAAGTGGAATATTTTAATAACATCAAGGCAACATTAAATTTCAGGAAAAAAATCTTTATACAAGTCTTAGGGGAAAAAAGAGCCAAGTACTAATAAATAAAGGCTCGTTATTTAAGAACTATTTCGTTGTGAATAGTATTAACTTAAAACTGAAATTTTATTTCATTAAGAACCTAAATTTCTAGACCAGAGGTCAGCCAACTGTTTCTGTAAAGTGATAGTTAGTAAATATTTTAGGCTTTGTGGGCCACATACAGTCTTTGTCATATATTGTTCTTCTTTTGTTTTTTTAAGTAACTCTTAAAAATCCAAAAACTATCCTTACTTTGTGGGTCAGGCCACTGGCCATGGTTTATCAGTCTCGACTAAGCTCTATGGGTACAGGAACCATGTTGTTCATAGCTAGATTTTCAGTGCCTAGTATAATCTTTGCTATATGGTAGATATCATTTAAATTGTGGAATGGAAATACTAGCTTATATGACAAATATTAGAACTATTTTATTACCTTAATGATAATTAATATATTACATACGTCACTACTTAGCCTGTGCACCATGTGTAGGTGGTAGTCGTCACTTGAGCCATGTCTAGGATTATCAGCATGATGATTAGCTGAATTGCCAGACAACGGACCAGAAACTTTATTATCATGTATGTTTCTCAAACCACCTGCAACAATGGGACTTGATACCGATGCTGAAATTAATAAGAATAAAAAAAAGTTTAAAAAAATACTATTAAAATCCTTAGAAAATAATAGTTATTCACAAGAAACACTTTAAGCATACAAAAATGATAAAGAGTAATCTAAAAAACATGCATGTACTGACTAGTCAAGTTTGAGCAAATCTTAACATCATGCCAGGTCCAGATCTATTTTTGAAAAGAAGTAAAATATTATAGATATAGTTGAAGCTCTCCACTGATCTGTGTATTTCTCTCCTCTATTCTTTTCCCCTTACTTCCTGGAGTTAACTACTATTTTGACTTCAGAATTCACTCTACCTATGCATATCCTTATACTCCTATGCATATCCTTACACTTTTGCTATAAATGAATATATTCCTAAATAATACATAGCATTGTCTTTACAACTTTACATAAATGGTATGTGTATGTATCCTTCTGTAACTTGCTTTTCAATTCAATATTATATTGAGATTTATCTATTTTTATATTTTATATTATATAGTTTTAAATTCATTTATTTTAAATAAATAATCGTGTATGTTCTGCTGCATCATGTATACTACTTATTTATCCATTCTTATGGATCCATGTCAGATATTTAGATTGATTAAACTTTTTGCTGCCACAAACAATGCCGCAATGTATACTTATACATGATGACTTTTTTTACAAATGTGTAAAAGCTCTAGGTGCCAATACCTAGGACTCAGAAAGTGCTGGATATGCTCGTTTTTAAACCTTACTAAATATTAACAAATAGCTTTCCAAATTACTTGTATCAGCTGGACACGGTAGCTCACAACTGTAATTCCAGCACATTGGGAGGCAGAGGTGGGAAGATCACTTAAGCCCAGGAGTCCAAGACCGGCCTGGGCAACATAGCAAGACCCCATCTCTACAAAAAATTTTAAAATTAGCTAGACGTGGTGATGTGTGCCTGTCGTCCTAGACAGTCAAGAGGGTAAGGCAGGAGGATCACTTGAACCCAGGAGTTCAAGGTTGCAGCAAGCTATGATCACACCACTGCCTTCCAGCCTGGGCAACGGAGTGAGAGATCCTGTCTTTTAAAAATGAAAAAATTACTTATGTCCATTTGTATTCATTGGTAGTGTATGAGAGTTTCCACTGCTTTATATCCTTGCCAACAATTTTTGCTATTCTGAGGGTGGGAAATGTCTTTGACAGTCTCTATAATTTGCATTTCCTTGATTACTAGTGAAGTCAAGCATCTTCTCATATGTACTAGCCATTAAGATTCCTTCCTTAACAGAAAGTCACAAAAAGATGGTCTCTTTTTTCTTCTTCTCAAAGCTTCACGGTTTTGGTTTTTCAGTTAGGTCTTTAATACAGGCAGAATTAATTAATTAATTATTTTTTTGAGTCTCACTCTGTTGACTTGGGTAGAGTGCCATGGTGTCAGCCTAGCTCACAGCAGGCTCAAGCTCTTGGGCTCAAGCAATCCTCCTGCCTCAGCCCCCCAAGTAGCTGGGACTATAGGTACACACCACCACACCTGGCTGATTTCTTTATATTTTTAGTAGAGCCAGGATCTCTCTCTCGCTCAGGCTGGCGTAGAACTCCTGATCTCAAGCAATCCTCCTACCTCGGCCTCCCGGAGTGCTAGGATTACAGGTGTGAGCCAGCACGCCCAGCCAAAATTTATTTTTAAGTACAGTGTGAGATAGGGATCCAATGTTGTCTCCATAGGTATAACAGTTTCAGTACCATTAAAGAAATTCTTTCCCCCATTAAGATATAATGTCTTATGTATCAAGTTTCCATTTGTTCATAGGTATGTTTCTAGGCCATTCATCATGTTCCGCCTCACCATGTGTTACTTTTCCATGCCTGTACCAATATTACAATAAATCTTGATTCCTGTTAAACTGAGCATCTACACTTGGTTCCACTTCAAAATTCTTCAAGTTTCACAGAAATCCTGCTTGAGACTTTTATCAATACTGTATTCAATTTACAGATTGGGGGGAAATATTAACCTTTACCCGACTGAGTCTTTCCATCCATGAAGATGGCATTACTCTCCACTCTCTTAGGTTTTCCTTTATCTCTTTCAACAGTTTTATAATTTTCTCCACAAAGGTCTTGTACATCTTTCATTAAATTTATTCCTAGTTTGACAAACACCAAGGGAATTGAACAAAATTCCTAGGAACTTTGTGGTTTTCCTTAAAAATGTTACTATCAAAAAAGATTATACTTATACCTGCTTATTTTGGGTGTATAAAAATGCAACCAATTTCATTATAATGTTATATACAGCAATAATATAGAATGCTTTTATTAATTCTAATATCTTGTCTATAGCTTCTCTTGAATTTTCTATGGTAACTATCGTATCACTTGAAAATGACACTTTGTGTCTTCCTTACCAATAGTTACACACAGATACACACACACACATATATATTTTATGCTCATCTTCCTGTATTGGCTAGGACACCAATTGCACAGTGAGTAAAAGTGATTATAGGCATTTGTGTCCAATCTTTGATTTGAAGGGAAATGCTTCTAATATTTTACCACTAGATGGATCGTGTTTATCAGGATAAGACTGTACCAATCTATTCTTATTCTGTTAAAAGTTTTAAAAACCATGAATAAAAGTATGAAAGTTCAATTTTTTAGTATGCTCTTTTTTTACCTATTAGGAGACTCGCATGAACCCCTCCCCTTTAGTCTGAATTATATCGTCTACTATTAATCAATCTGTATACTGGCTACACATGCAATTTTGTCATGTAGATTGATAATACTGCTTTTTTGGTTTCCTAATATTCATTTAGAAATTCTGTTTCCATGTTCATACATGATGATTGGTCCATAATTTTTCCTTTCTCATACTCTCCACCCTTTACCTGATTTTGGTAACTAGATTGTTATCCAACTTTACCAAATGAGTTGGGAGAGTACTGATGTTTTTCTTTTTTCTGGAATGGTTTAAGATTAGAATATCTCTTCATCGAATGTTTGGTAGAACTTGTTAAAACTGAGTATGTTGGCTGGGTGCGGTGGCTCACGCCTGTAATCCTAGCTCTCTCGGAGGCCGAGGCAGGCAGATTGTTTGAGCTCAGGAGTTCGAAACCAGCCTGAGCAAGAGCGAGACCCCGTCTCTACTAAAATTAGAAAGAAATTAATTGAACAACTAAAAATATATATAGAAAAAATTAGCTGGGCATGGTGGTTCATGCCTGTAGTCCCAGCTACTCGGGAGGCTGAGGCAGGAGGATCGCTTGAGCCCAGGAGTTGGAGGTTGCTGTGAGCTAGGATGACGCCACGGCACTCTAGCCCGGGCAACACAGTGAGACTCTGTCTCAAAAAAAAAAAACTGAGTATGTTTTTATCCCGTACTTCCCTTTTAAAGGAGATAGATTTTGAAGTACTGAGTGAGGTATATGAATATTAAATAGATGGATACTATCAAACTGCTCTCTAAAAAGTTGTACCAATTTATACCCCTATGAAGACTGTAAAATGTTTACCAATCTGATAGGTACAAAATTTTATATTTTAATTTTGATTGCAAGTCTTTAATTATAAGCCAAGTTGACCATAATTTCATATATTTATTAAATCTTTCTGTACCCAATTGACTGCTCTTTTTCAGTAAACTGCCTGTTTAAATCTTTAGGCCATTTCTGTCTTGTTCTTAATTTGCATGAGATCTTGGAATATTAAAAAACTAGTATGTTGTATTTATAAAAAATGTTACAAATGTTCTCCCTCACATTTGTTTACATATTTATATAATTTACATATATATGTTCTCATACAGAAATTCATAATTAATCTGTTTTTTTCGTTTCTGCAATCTAGGTTTTCAGTTTGCTTAGAAATAAGGCCTTCTCAACTTTAAGATTACCAAATATGTGCCCATATTTTCTTCTTGTAATTCTAATTTTTAAAAACCTATTCAAATAGTTTATCTATCTAAAAAATTTTTGCTCTATGTGATCCAAAAATCCAACTAAAATTTCAAAATGCCCGATCACTATCGTTTAATTAAACAATCCATTCTTACGCACTGATTTTAAAATGTCATCTTTGGAATGAATGATAGAATTTTTAAAAAAATCATCATTTTCCAATGATCCATGTAAAAACTAATAAAATGAGAATCACTGGATGCTAAACCCTTTAGGTAACAGATTGATGGGAAATAAGATATGTGCATGATCTCAAAGTTGACACTTCACAGATTACTAATTGCAAAGGAAAAAAATATGTATTTTTACAATAAAGAGATTAGATGGTCACCACCTAAACACCACCAATAATGGGACCACCTGGTATTATGTGCCTTCTGATGTGATTCAGTATAAAGTATAGGTGATTACTTATGTAGTACTCTTGCCAAAAATACATAACTGGAAAACTAATAAAATCTTTAAAGCTAACTTTCAGTTGATAGGAAATATAGGGGACAGATGAACAAATTAAATAACACTATGAGAAAACAGTAAAGTCTAGAATATGACATATTCTACATTAAAACTGTCACAAAATTTTTCAAAAAACAAAGATTGGTGCCATGGGTGAAAAAAGGTACAAGACTGTTTTAGATTAACAGAGCCATAAGAGATGCAAAAATCAGTGTATGAGAATGCACCGTATGAGCAACTAGACTAGATCCTGTTTTGAAAAGAAAAAATATATTAAAAACATATTTAGAACAACTGGGGAAAACTGAATGTACACTAGACAGTAGATGATACTGTATTATGGAACTGTTCTTAATTTTTTTAAGAGATAAATTTATTACATTTGGTGTTTATATAGGAGAATCATCTTCTTAGCAGATGTATTTAAGGACAAAGTGTCATGATGCCTGTTGGTGAAGGGGTTCATTGTGCTAATCTTACAAATGAAAGTTTTTATAACATAAAGTTGAAAAAAATGTTTTAAATGTTACCTTATTCATACTCTAAATTGCCTTATTTCTGGATTCTTTTCTGTCCCATTGACCTATCCACTTGTTCCTTATCAG